TCTTCATTTCTCCCTATGTCCCTTCATTCTTTCCCTCTCTCACTCTTTCTCCTTTCCTCCCCATCGCTTTGACTTCTTCCCCCCCAAACCCTCCCTCCCTCCATCTCTGCCTGTCTGTCTGTCTGTCTTTCTGACTGTCTGTCTCTGTCTCCCCCACCTCTACCTTCCTCTCTCTCTCTCTCCCAACCCCTCTATCTGTCTGTCTGTCTGTGGCCCACCCACCCACCCTATTTTTCTAGGGCTCGTTGTCTTCATCCTCAACGGGCTTTGCAGCTAGTGTAATTTAAAACAGTAGGGGGCCTCTGGGTTTTGTATAGCTTAGGGCCTCAGCAAGTCTACATCCGTCCCTGGATGATGCGCACGCTGAGAAGGGGGGGGGGACAACGACACAGAGTCGGGATGGCCTGGTTGGACCATCCCGACGCCATGAGAGTGCGCTGGAGCGATCAGACAGGGGAAAGTCTGCCCGTGGCCCGTAGCAACCCGTTTGCTACCGGACTTTCCCCGGTGTCTTTGTACTCCGCTTCTGCGGCGGAGCAAAACTGGTTGCCGATGGCTGCGGGGCGCCTCCCAGACGTTCGTGTCTGATTGCACCATTTAAATCCACCCGGCATTGGCGCCGATCGTGGGGCTAATTGTGCGTGCAATAGGTGCCCTCTGTTCGCCTCTTGCCTTGAAAACCCTACCGGGTTGCCATGAGTCAGCTGTGACTTGTCGGCACTTCCCGCCACCTGCCCTGACCTGGGTGGCCCAGGCTTGTCAGATCTCGGAAGCTAAGCAGGGTCGGCCCCGGTCGGTACTTGGATGGGAGACCACCAAGGAAATCAAGGGTTGCCACGCAGAGGCAGGCAAAGGCAAGCCACCTCTGTTAATCTCTTGCCATGGAAACCCTAATGGGTCACCATGAGTCGGCTGCGACTTGACTGCGCCAGTTTGATGTCATGGTGAAGTGCACGGACTCTAATCTGGGAGAACCGGGTTTGATTTCCCACTCCGCCACTTGCACCTGCTGGATGACCTTGGGCAAGCCACAGTTCTGGCAGAGCTGTTCTCTCAAGGTCAGTTCTGGAAAGAGCTCCCTTCGCCCCACCTACCTCACAGAGGGTGTCTGCTGTGGGGAGGGGAAGGGGAAGGAGTTTGCAAGCCGTCCTGAGACTCCTTCAGGTTGTGTAGGGCAGGGTACAAATCCAATCTCCACCACCACGTTCCTCCACCAAGTTCCACCACCAAGTTCCTCCAGGAATGGGAAGGCAGCTGGTCTTGTGGAGGACCCTCCTTGCCAGAACCAGTTTGGCCCAACAAGCATCCCTGGACCACCTTTCCATTTTGCAAGCCTGGGTCCTCTTTGTCCCAGGGGAATCCGCCGACAGCCCCTGTGGCTCAGTGGACAAGCCTATGCTTGGCATGCAGAAGGTCCCAGGTTTGATCCCCGGCATCTCCAGTCGAAAAGGACCGGGTGATAGGTGGTGCGAAAGACCTCCAAACCCAGAGGGCCGCTGCCAGTCTGAGTACTGACCTTGACAGACCAAGGATCTGATACGGTACATGGCAGATTCATATGCATATTTTTTTCCATATGAAACACAGTCCATCCATTAAGCAGAGAGCAACCCAAGAGACTTCCTCTTTTTAACCCCACCCTTCTTTGAGGCTGCATCCTCCCTTTGCTGCAGGGCTTCAAGACGGACTACAAGACGAGAGACAATCTGGTGCAGGACTGTAGCCACCGGGGAGGCATACAAGGGCGATGCCCCCCACGAATATGCCCACCCCACCCCCGTAGGAGGGAAGGGAACCAGCAGGAGGAGAGGAAGAGGGGCGGAAGCAGGAAGACCCGGCGAGGCCGCGCTGTTCTGTCCCCTCTGTTCAGGCGTGGTTTCCGTGTGGCCTCGCCAGGTCTCCCTGCTTCTGCAGCGACCACGCGGCGACCCCAGCTGAGCGGGGGGGAGGGAGAGCTGCAGCCTCGCTGGGTCTTCCTGCTTCCGCAGCTGACTTCCCAAAGTTTGAGAAGTTCGCTGCCGAAGCAGGAAGACCCAGCAAGGCCGCGCGGCGTTCGCCCCTCCCCTCCGATGGGAGCCTGAGCCGCGGGGGGACTTGCGAGCTGCTGGTGGTGATGGTAAGTTCACCCCCACCTCCTGCCAGTAGGTCCGATTTGCCCCACATACACACACAAAAAGTTCAGCTACGGGGCTGCTGTGGTGTAGTGGTTAGAGTTTCGGGCTAGGGTCTGGGAGACCCAGGTGTGACTCCATCCCCTGCCTTTTTCTCTGCAGCCCCTGCTTCTGCCCCCGATCCCTTTTCCAGCTGGCGTCTTCTTTTTGTGTCTCACAATAGGGAGCCAAAGCCTGTCCCCCTAGCCAGAAAGAGAAAGAAGGCGGCGTTCAAGAGATCTGCGTTGACGTCTTGGAGCATCTGAACACCTCCGCAGAAGGGATGAGGAAAGTGAGTTGCTGGCCGGATCCTGCAGGATATGAAAACCCTCTTCTCTGTGGTTTTAGAAAATGCCAGCATTTGAGCCTTTCTGAGTCATCCCTTGGCAAGAGATGCACAGTTCTTCATCCTTTGTCTAGGGGACTCTTCTAGACTCTCCTTTTTTTCACTGGTGTGCCCCTGTTGCTTTGGGTTTTCTTTTCTTTTTTGTATGTGTTTTGCTCCCTCTGGTGGTCGCTCCGATAGTACATCACAGTGTCTCCGGCAATGCTCCCTCTAAGCTGTGGAGTCTTGTGAGCAAAAGTTCTATTTTGTGAGATACTGGAAGTTGTGAGCGAGCGATTTGGCTGCTGCATAAATTAGTTTGCTCTGGAGCCATCCTTCCCGACTAACTCAGCTTAGAGGGAACACTGGACAGGTCTCTGGCATATTTCCCTGTAGTTTTAAAGTGCAGGGAAATATGCTGGCGATACAGTAATGTAATATCGAAGCGACCACTAGGAGGAGTAAAACATATGCAGAAAAGGGGAAATCACAAAGCAATAGGGGCACACAAGCGGTGAAAATAAGGGCGCAGGAAAGCCCTAGATCTAGATCCCTTCCCCACTAGGGCTGCCAGTTCCGGGCTGGGAAATTCCTGGAAATTTGGGTGTGGAGCCAGTGGGGGGTGACCTTGGGTCAGTCAAAAGTTCTCTCAGAGCTATTCTCTCAAGGGCAGTCCTCGAAAAAGCTCTCTCAGCCCCACCTACCTCACAGGGCGTCTGTTGTGGGGAGAGGAAGGGAAAGGAGATTGGAAGCCACTCTGAGACTCCTTTGGGTGGTGAAAAGCGGGGTATGAAAACCATCCCTCCTCCTCCTCCTTCTTCTACCTCTTTGCAGATCCTGTGGCCGAAGCTTCTGCACTTTGTGGTCCCGGCTGCGTACAGTCCGGCCTTGAGACCCCTCTGCCGGTGCCTGAAAGAACTGGCCGTCGCACAGCAGGGAGAATCGGCTCTTTTTCTCGGTTCTTGCAAAGGAGGTTCGTTCAGGGCCGGTTCAAAGAATGCGGTTCCCCTGGCAGAGGATGGAGGACCAGGATGGGGGAGACCCAGGTCTGCAAAGGCACACCCGTTGCCTTCTCCCACGCACAGCTCGCCAGGTCGGAGGGGAGCCCCCTGCGGCTCCAGGAGCTCAGCTCAGTTCTGTGGAGGTTCAGCCTTGGTTCGGGGGTGGAGCGTCTCTTCCTCACACATTGCCAACGGCTGGGGGCAAAAAACTGCTCAGAAACTACAGTTTTATTTTACTTTATTTATTTATTTATGTTTGGATTTATAACCCGCCCTACCCCGAGGGCTCGGGGCGGCTTACAGGGGCACTGTGTGCCAAGATTATAACAGTAAAACACATAATATAAAACAATAAATTAAAAAAAGGCAGCAGCCCGGTTATTGCCAGGGGGGCAGGATACAGAGATCATATCATCCAGGGCTTTTTTTTTTTTTTTGGTAGAAAAAGTCCAGCAGGGACTCATTAGCAGGGCTCTAGTCGGGGGGGAGCTCTCAGGTACGGAGCTCCGGAAGAGAACCTCTAGGGGCGGGGCGGTCACGTGGTGAAGCCCCGCCCCCTTCTTTACCCCGCCCTCTGCTTCGATCCTCATTCCGTTTGGGAATGAGGATGAAGCAGGAGGGTAAGTAGCCGGGCCTTCTGACACACTTCCGGTGATGTCAGGGGGTGTGGCCTTCTGTCACTTCCGGTGATGTCAGGGGGCGTGGCATATGCAAATAAGTTATGCTAATGAGTTATGCTAATGAGCTCCGGCAGCTCTTTTTCTACAAGACCCCTGCTCATTAGCATAATAGGAGAAACTCCATCAGGAGAAACTGATTAGCATATTAGGCCACACCCCTGACAGCATGGCTCGTTCGCATATTAGGCCACACCCCCATGCCTTCCCTTGGCTTGCCCGGGTGCCCCCGTGGCTGCGGGGAGCCCAGGCAGGCCGGACCTTGACAGGCCGGGGAAGGCACGGGGAAGCATTTAAATGCCTCCTTGATCCTCCCAGGGCCCCCCTGGCCCGCCCGCCTCGGAGTTGCCAGGGGGTCGCTCTCCAGGCCTTCCCTCTGTAGCCACGCACGCAGAGGTTTTGGCTGTAGTGGGCGTGGCCAACTCTGAAACCAGCCGGAACTCCGTTCCTGTGCGTTCCTGCCCCAAAAAAGCCCTGATATCACCCCACCCCCATGTTGAGAGATCAGTGCTAGTGGGCCATCTGTTTTGGGGCACAGCTCAAAATGCTGGTTCTTACAGTATGGTGTCGTGGTTAGGAGCTGAGAGGCCTGGGTTCAGATCCCCATACCTCCATGAAATGGTTGGCCCAGCGGGAGGGTAAAGGAACAGGGACACAGGAGGATGTGTGACACTGATGACATCACCAGCATTGCTGCATCACTTCCAGGCACAACATGGAAGTGATAATGGGTAGCTCTAGGAAACGCCGGAAACTCTATGGTGAAGCCATAGAGTTTCTGGCAGTGCCTAGAGCTACCCGTTGTCAGTTTTGGATTCTGACGTATCAGCAAAGAGGTTGGTTCGTGGGAGGCCTGGCAACCTTACCTTGGGCCCTTAGAGTCACCTACCTCACAGGGTAGTTGTGAGGTTAAATAGGGAAGGGAGAACAAGAAGGATCCCGAACTCCGTGGAAGAAGGATGGGATAAAACTGCACTGGACAGGTTTTACAAAGCACTTTTAGAACAAAGCCTGGCAGGAACAAAACTGAGGGAGGGCCCAGGGGTACCGGGTGGAGGACCGACCTGTTCACCCGAGCCAAAGGTGACTGTTTACTTATTATCTCTCTACAGTGAAGCTCCCCAGCGCTCAAGGACTCTTTGCAAGGCTTCTGGTAAGAAATGCTAAGAAAACAGATAACTTTAAAGGCAGAGATGTATTCACACATGTTCAAAGTTCTTCTAACTCCTTTTGTGCCATTCTGTCCACCCATACCGAGAGGCTGGCAACCGCATGCATCATGAACATGCTTCTCTCAGTGAGAACATAAGAACATCAGAAGAGCCCTGCTAGATCAGACCAATAGTCCATCTAGTCCAGCATCCTGTCTCACACAGTGGCCAACCAGTTCCTCTGGAGGGCCAACAACAGGGCGGAGAGCCCGAGGCCTTCATAAGAACGTCAGAAGAGCCCTGCTGGATCAGACCAGGGGTCCATCTAGTCCAGCATCCTGTCCCACACAGTGGCCAGCCAGTTCCTCTGGAGGGCCACAACAGGGCGGAGAGGCCAAGGCCTTCATAAGAACATCAGAAGAGCCCTGCTGGATCAGACCAGGGATCCATCTAGTTCAGCATCCTGTCTCACACAGTGGCCAACCAGTTCCTCTGGAGGGCCAACAACAGGGCAGAGAGCCCGAGGCCTTCATAAGAACGTCAGAAGAGCCCTGCTGGATCAGACCAATGGTCCATCTAGTCCAGCATCCTGTCTCACACAGCGGCCAAATCAGTTCTTCTGGAGGGCCCACAACAGGGCAGAGAGCCCGAGGCCTTCATAAGAACGTCAGAAGAGCCCTGCTGGATCAGACCAATGGTCCATCTAGTCCAGCATCCTGTCTCACACAGGGGCCAAATCAGTTCTTCTGGAGGGCCAACAGCAGGGAATAGAGGCCGAGGCCTTCATAAGGCCCCGGTCACATGGAAGATTTTGGCCCGGGAGAGGGACGGATCAGAGGCGCAGAAAACGGGCGCGATCTCACCGCAACATCTGGGAAGCAGCGCACACCCGTCCCTGATCCATCTCTAAACCCGGAAAAGCCGCTGCAAAAAAGAACCTCCTGCAGAGGAGGACTTACCTGAAGCACCCTTTAGTCACCATGGATAGTAGCCACTGAAAAGCTTATCCTCCATGAATCTTGGTCTTAAAGGTGCCACTGGACTGTCTTGGACCGGGGGGGTGGGGTGGGGGCTCTGCAACTTACCTGACTGCTTCTTGCTCTGACTGAGGGCTGCTGGGAGCAGGGGTCGGGGCTTGCTGCATGTGCCCACCCCCTGGGCTCCTTACTGCCGGAGCTCCGCTCGTGCATTCCCGCAGGGAATGACCCCTTCCTTCTTTGTACCCGAGGCACTGCTCCCTTCCAGAGGCGTTCCCTTCTGTTAGATATGAGCCTCGAGGCAGCAGGTGAACAGTGATAACCGCCTTATTGAGCACGAAGTCAGAAGAACCAGAACGAGACGAAACATTGGAGCAACAGGCTCCTTTTTAAACAGTCCGGGCTTGGCAAGCCACGCCCACAGGTCAGATAAGGTCCAATCAAATACAGTACATAAAGTCCAATCACTTTGCTTCCCTCCAGAACTCCCTTTGTTCTGATAGTTCGGTTTACGATACCTTTGTCAGACTCAAGTTCATACAGTCATACATTCAGGGGGTTTTTTTGTAGAAAAAGCCCAGCAGGAACTCATTAACATAATAGGCCACACCCAACAGCAGAAACTAATTAGCATATTGGGCCACACCCCTGACAGCACAGTTTATTGGCATATTAGGCCACACCCCATGCCTTCCCTTGGCTTGCCCGGGTGCCCTGCAGCTGTGGGCAGCGTGGGCAAGCCGGCCCTTGGACAGGCCGGGGAAGGCACAGAGAGGCATTTAAATGCCTCGCCAATCCTTCCAGGGGCCCCCTGGCCCACCCAACTTGGAGTCGCCGGGGGGGGGTTCTCTCCAGGCCTTCCCTCTGTAGCCACGTATGCGCAGAGGTTTTGCCTGTAGCGGGTGTGGCCAACTCTGAAGCCAACCGGAACGCCATTCCTGTGCGTTCCTGCCCAAAAATAGCCCTGCATACATTCTATTTCCATACATAACACCTTCTGCTCCCTCTCCTGTCGACAGGTCCTGGCCTCCAACCCCAACCAGACAGGGACGTGGGCTTTGCAGCTCTTGCACGCCATGCGGGGCAACATCCACCCCGCGGTTGACAAGCTGTGGGGGATGCAGATGCCCTTCCTTTGGGAATCCATGCAAGGTAAGGCGGTTACTCCGAAGTGGTGCGGTGCGGAGCGACAACTGGGCTGCATTTGGAAGCAGGAAATCCCCGTCCTGAATTGCCAACTGCCGTGAATCCACAAGAGGCGAGCTTCTCTCTCTCTCTCTGTCTGTCTGTCTCTCTCTCTCTCTCTCTGTCTGTCTCTCTCTCTCTCTCGGTCTCTGTCTCTGTCTCTCTTTCTCTCTCTCTCTCTGTCTGTCTCTCTCTCTCTCTGTCTGTCTCTGTGTCTGTCTGTCTCTCTCTCTCTGTCTCTCGGCACCCTTCTTCTCCTGCTCCTGTATAAAGAGTGCCACGCTAAGGACTCGTCTCTGGTAGAGTTCCTGGCAGAGGTCATTTCGGGGGAATCGCGGGGGATCGCAGTTCCCCCGGGTGAGGTACAGGGGGCGGGGCACATGATGAAGCCCCGCCCCCTGCTTCCGTCCGCCCCGCTTCCGGCCCTCATTCAGCCAGGAGGAGGCAGGAGAAGAGGGAGGGTAAGTTGCTTCCTCCCCGCCTCTCCCCACCCCTGCCTGCCTGGGGCCAGGGAGGGCCTTGGCAGGGCTTCCTCGCACTCCCGCCGGCCTTGCAGGTCCACTGCCGGGCCTTATGATGTCAGGGGGTGTGGCATATGCTAATGAGTTATGCTAATGAGTTCCCCTAGCTCCTTTTCTATGAAACGACCCCTGGGTCCTGGGGATATACTTGTGTTGCCAGCTCCAGGCTGGGAAATCCCTGGACATTTTGGAGGAACAGAGGGACTTTTATGGGGCATAAGGCCATAGAGTCCACCTATTCATTTTTCAGTTGAGGGGAGTGAGACTGTTGACATCCGCGACTTTCCCGTGGATCCTTCTTCTGTTCCACCACGAGAGTGAAGACGAGGACTGCCAGCTCCGGGTTGGGAAATACCTGGAGGTTTGGGGGGGTGGGACCTGAGGAGGGCGGGGCTTGGGGAGGGGGGGGACCTCAGCCGGGTGTAATGCCATAGAGTCTGCCATCCAGAGTGGCCATTTTCACCTTTGTCATCTGGAGAGCGGTTGTAATCCCAGGAGAACTCCCGTCACCCCCTGGAGTTTGGCAAGGGGCCCCAGAAGGGAGAGACTGGATGCTCTCTACCAGGGATCATTTCCTGCGGGAGCGCACTGGAGCAGAGCTCCAGCAGTAAAGAGCCCAAGGGGGCGGGCACATGCAACAAGCCCCGCCCCCTGCTCCCAGCAGCCCCGGGCCACAAGGACCATGAGGATCTGCGCGTCCCCCCCCCAATAGCTAGCAATCCAAAACAGTCCAGTGGAGCCTGAGCAGTGGGTGTTGCCTTCTGACACACTTCTGGTGATGTCAGGGGGTGTGGCGTATTCAAATAAGTTATGCTAATGAGTTATGCTAATGAGCTCCTGTACCTCTTTCTATGAAATGACCCCTGCTCTCTACCATACATTTAAGTGTGTTGGGGTTGTCAGCAATGCTCCCTCTAAGCCGTGGGGTCTTGTGAGCAAGAATCCTACTTTGTGAGCTGCCGGTATTACAGTTGTGAGCGAGCAATCTGGCTACTGCATCAATTAGTTTGCTCCAGAGCTGTCCCTTCCTGAGCTAAGGCAAAAAATGTGTGAGCCGGAGGCTAAAAAACGGTGAGCTAGCTCACACTCACTCAGCTCAGAGGGAACACTGGTTGCCAGGTCTCCCTTGGGCAACGGCGGAGGATATAGGGTTCCCAAGTCTTACCTTAGTTTTAGCGGGGGAGTCCTGGGCCATAGAGTTTTCCCTCGAATGATAGAGCGTCCCCCCCGCAACGTGCCCGGCGCGGTGACGTCACCTCTGGGCAGGGCTTTTTTTGTAGAAAAAGCCCAGCAGGAACTCTTTAGCATAACAGGCCACTGTCACAGCAGGACCAGGGGGCGTGACGCAAACAAGCAAAAGTCCAGAAGCAGTCCGAGGTCAAGCCGAGCAAATCCGGTAGCAAGGTTCAAACAGGTTTAAATCACAGTCCAAAAGCAGGGTCAGGCATACCAGAGTTCCAAGTCCATAAATCACAACGATACCAGAGGAGTCAGAGATGAACGCAGGGTCAACGAAGCCGAGGGTCAAAAGCCGAGGATCAAGCCGATAAGAATTCCACAAGGTCTGGAGCAGAGATGCAAGGATTCAGGTCCTGACAAACGACGTTTGCCAGCACAAATGACTGCCGGCAACAGACTTGCAGATATACAGTGCTAGCTAATCAACTCATTAGCTAGCCGGGAGCGAGGTCAGGATCCTGTCAATATTCAGGGCTAAGAGACCTTCTGGCACGCATGCGTGCATTCTGTCTTCGCTCTCTCAGCTGCTGTCTCCGTACATTCCGGAGCCTGGTTACAGGTGGTGGTGAGTCTGATGACGAATTACTGGTATGCAGCAGAGACTGATCCCTTGCAGGTGTTCCCTGGGAGGCTCTATCCTCCTCACCACTTAGATAGCTTTCAGCTACAGGATCCAGTCTTTGCCTTTCTGCTGCAGTACTGTCCTCAGGAGCCTGTAAGTCCACAGGATCCTGGCTGGCAGGTGCCTCCTCAGGGACATCAGCAAGGGCAGGCATGACATCAGCAGGGGCAGGCATGACAGCCACACCCAACAACAGAAACTCATTAGCATATCCAGCCACACCCATGAGAGCATAGCTCATTAGCATAGTAGGCCGCACCCCCATGTTACCAGAAGTGTCGACATCCAGCCACACCCACCTTTTGCTTCTTATCCTGTTTACCTTGTTTGTTGTCAAAACCCAGGGCCTTTTTTTGTAGCAGGAACTCCTTTGCATGTTAGGCCACACACCCCTAATGTAGCCAATCCTAATGTGTTTCTGCTGTTGGGTGTGGCCTGTTATGCTAATGAGTTCCTGCTGGGCGTGGTCAACTTGTTAGCCAGCCGGAACTCTGTTCCTGTGCGTTCCTGCCCAGAAATAGCCCTGCCTCTGGGCGACGTCATCACGCCGGGCACATTTCCACAATCCCGGCATCTTGGTGGTGGGGTTCCCCGGCGGGTAACAGACCCCTCAAGCAGGGGTTTCCCCGCCCCCCCCCCGGGGGAGCCGGCAATCCTAGGAGGACAGGGAGTAGTGATGCCACTCCAGGTTAGAAAATACCTGGAAATTTTGTTGACGGAGCATTAGGAGGGCAGGATTTGGGGAGGGGAGGGACTTCGACAGGGTGTAATGCCATGGAGACGACCTTCCAAAGCGGCCATCCCCTCCGGGTGGGCTGATCTCTGTTGCCTGGAGAACAGTTGTCATCCCCGGAGATCTCCAGCCACCACCTGGAGGTTGGCACCCCTAGCTGACCGCCTGTCTGGCTTAGTGCCAACAGCAGTGGTATGACAGTTTGGCCTGTTCCCTGCAGGAAACACGGAGACCAGGAGTCAGGAACGGGAGCAGAAACTGCTGCAGGTAAGGGATAGCTTTCCCCGGGACAGCCCGGAATGCCCATGGCAGGAGAAATCCAGAAGCAAGAAAAGGCGGGGATCCCATAATGCTGTGCTGCCGGTGGGGCAGCCATTGAGGCAGGGTAGGCACGGCCGGGCAGTGCCAAAGCCCGTGTCCCAGAAGAGAACCCCACCCTGGCTGGGGGTATTAGGCTGATCTCCAGTTTCCCAGGATTAGAGAAAACAGAGTGCAGATTTACATCACAATAGGGTTACCAGATCTGAGTTGGGAAATGCCTGGAGATTTTGGGAGGGGTGGAGCCTGGGGAGGACGGGGTCTGGGAAGGGGAGGCACCTCAGCAGGGTATGATCCAATAAACTCCACCCACCAGAGCAGACATTTTCTCCGGGGAAACTGATCTGTGTTGTCTGGAGATTGTCCTTCCCAGAGATCTTCTGATCTCCAGGCATGCAGGAGCTTCCAAGTCCATCAGAATATAGAAGAAGAGCCCAGCTGGATCAGACCAGTGGTCCATATAATTCCAGCATCCTGTCTCACACAGCGGCCAACCAATTCCTCTGGAGGGCCAACAACAGGGAACAGAGGCAGAGGCCTTCAAAAGAACATCAGAAGAGCCCTGCTGGATCAGACCAATGGTCCATCTAGTCCAGCATCCTGTCTCTCACAGTGGCCAACCAGTTCCTTTGGAGGGCCAACAAGAGGGCAGAGAGGCCAAGACCTTCATAAAAACAGAAGAAGAGCCCTGCTGGATCAGACTGGTTGTCCATCTAGTCCAGCATCCTGTCTCACACAGGGGCCAACCAGATACCCTGGAAGGCCAATAACAGGGCACAGAGGCCGAGGCCTTCATTAGAATGTCAGAAGAGCCCTGCTGGATCAGATCAATAATCCATCTAGTCCAGCATCCTGTCTCACACAGAGGCCAACCAGTTCCTCTGGATGGCCAATACTGCATAGAAGCCACTGCCTTCCCCTGACGTTGCCTCCTGGCTCTGGGATTCAGAGGAATAGTGCCTCTGAGTGGGGAGGTTCCCCTCAGCCACCATGCCTAGTAGCCATTGATAGACTTATTCTCCATGAATCTATCTAATCCCCTTTTGGAGCTGTTTATTCCTGCGGCCACCACTATACCCTCTGGCAGTGAATTCTACATTTTAATCAGTCTCCCGTCCACCCAGCGGTTCGAAAGCCTGTTAAAGGGCAAGTAGATAAAATGGGTACCTGCTATTAGAGCGGGGGGGCACCCGCCCCTGGCGTAGCAGCGACGGAGAGCGATGAACGGCGGCAACGGAGAAAAAATGGCGGCTGGCGAAGAGAGGAGGCGAACAAAGGAGGCCGGACTAACAAGGTGCGGAGGCGGAGCGACGCGGCAGGCCGGAGCCTGACTTGGACGGAGGCCGCTGCGAGCATGCGCGGAAGCACGGAGTGGTCCAGGCCTGGAGGCGGAGTTGCGACAGCCGGAAAAAGCGGAACAGCAAAGACCGGCGCCGGAGGAGGGTCGCCGCCGGACTGCCCCCTCGCAATAAGAAGATCTGCTACAACAGGATAAGGGTGCCTGGTAGGCTTCTCACCTTCCCTACATATATGGCCCTAGATTAGATTGGTTAAAATCGGAATTGTAAGCCGCTCAGAGACCCTAGGGGGTGAGCGGGATAGAAGCCAGGAAATAAATAAATAAATAATAAATAAATTAAGAGAAGTTCAATCCCTGGCATCTCCAGTCAAAAGGATCAAGTCATGGGTCAATGGTCCTACCAACCCAGAAAGGTTGATTGTACCTGCGACTGGCATTTCTAAAGCTACCCAGTGTGCTTTGGAAGGAATAATTGGCCTAAAGATGATGTTCGCCACAGGAATCGCCCATTTGAGATTACACGGCTTTTTGTATCTTTTATACTGGGGGATTGTAGGGATACTTTGAGGAAAGCGAGATTTACGTCTCTCCCTGGAAAGGGGTTGTCCTCAGTGGTAAAGCATCAGCATGGTATGCAGAGGTCCCAGGTTCGATCCCCGATATCTCCAGGTAAGAGAACCAGGCAGGAGGTGATGGGAAAGACCTCAGCCTGAGACCCTGGAGAGCTGCTGCCAGTCTGAGTAGACAAGACTGACCTTATAGAATCATAGAATGTGAGAGTTGGAAGGGACCTTGCAGGTCATCTAGTCCAACCCTCTTCACTCTGCAGGAGCGTAGCCAAAAGATGGCCCTGCAACTTATCCGAAAGATGGTTGTCCAGCCTCTGCTTGAAAACGTCCAGCGAAGGAGCATCCGCCACCTCCCGAGGCAGACTGTCCCACTGCTCAACCACTCTGACAGTCAGGAAGTTTCTCCTGATATTTAGCCGGTATTGACTCCCTTGTGATTTCCACCCATTAGATCTAGTCTTGCAATCCGGAGCGAGAGAGAACAGAGCTGCTCCATCTTCTACATCTTCTACCTTGATGGACCTATAGAACAAAATTGGATTCCAGTGACACCTTTAAGACCAACAAAGTTTAATTTTGGCTATACGCTTTAAACATTAAACTCTGTTGGTCTTAACAGTGCCACTGGAATTAAAGTTCGCTCGGTTGCTTCAGAGCAATATGGCTACCCACCTAAATCTATCTTGATGGACCGAGGGTCTCATTTAGTAGAAGGTAGTTTCCTGTGTTCATAGCCTACAGCGTGCAAAGCAGATGCTCTGCCACTGAGCCACTGGAAACCACCACCACCCCCGCCACGGGAGCTAAGGAGGGTCCAGGCCATCCTTCTTCTTCTGAAAGACCTCTTGATAATGATGATGGACTCGAGGGCATCCGATGAAACTCATGGGCAGTAGGTTCAGGGCAGACAAAAGGAAATACCACTTTACACCGAGAGTGATTAAAATGTGGAATTCTCTGTCAGAAAATGTCATGATGGCCACAGAAATGAACAGTTTTAAAAGGGGATTAAATAGATTCATGGAGGATAAGTCTATCGGCAGCTACTAGCCATGGTGACCGAGGGGAACCTCCAACATTCAGAGGCACTAATCCTCTGAATCCCAGAGCCAGCCTCGGCCTCTATGCCCTGTTGTTCGCTATGCAGAGGAACTGGTTGGCCACTGTGTGAGAAAGGATGCTGGACTAGATGGAACACTGGTCTGACCCAACAGGGCTTATGTTCTAGTGAAGGCCTCGGCCTCTCTGCCCTGTTGTTGGCCCTCCAGAGGAACTGGCTGGCCACTCTGTGAGACAGGAGGCTGGACTAGGTGGACCCCTGGTCTGATCCAGCAGGGCTCTTCTGATGTTCTTATGAAGGCCTTGGCCTCTGTGTTCTGTTGTTGGCCATCCAGAGGAACTGTTTGGCCACTGTGTGAAACAGGATGCTGGACTAGATGGACCACTGGTCTGACCCAGCAGGGCTTATGTTCTAGTGAAGTCCTCGGCATCTTTGCCCTGTTTTTGGCCCTCCAGAGGAACTGGCTGGCCACTCTGTGAGACAGGAGGCTGGACTAGGTGGACCCCTGGTCTGATCCAGCAGGGCTCTTCTGATGTTCTTATGAAGGCCTCAGCCTCTCTGCCCTGTTGTTGGCCCTCCAGAGGAACTGGCTGGCCACTCTGTGAGACAGGAGGCTGGACTAGGTGGACCCCTGGTCTGATCCAGCAGGGCTCTTCTGATGTTCTTATGAAGGCCTCAGCCTCTCTGCCCTGTTGTTGGCCCTCCAGAGGAACTGGCTGGCCACTCTGTGAGACAGGAGGCTGGACTAGGTGGACCCCTGGTCTGATCCAGCAGGGCTCTTCTGATGTTCTTATGAAGGCCTCAGCCTCTCTGCCCTGTTGTTGGCCCTCCAGAGGAACTGGCTGGCCACTCTGTGAGACAGGAGGCTGGACTAGGTGGACCCCTGGTCTGATCCAGCAGGGCTCTTCTGATGTTCTTATGAAGGCCTCAGCCTCTCTGCCCTGTTGTTGGCCCTCCAGAGGAACTGGCTGGCCACTCTGTGAGACAGGAGGCTGGACTAGGTGGACCCCTGGTCTGATCCAGCAGGGCTCTTCTGATGTTCTTATGAAGGCCTCAGCCTCTCTGCCCTGTTGTTGGCCCTCCAGAGGAACTGGCTGGCCACTCTGTGAGACAGGAGGCTGGACTAGGTGGACCCCTGGTCTGATCCAGCAGGGCTCTTCTGATGTTCTTATGAAGGCCTCAGCCTCTCTGCCCTGTTGTTGGCCCTCCAGAGGAACTGGCTGGCCACTCTGTGAGACAGGAGGCTGGACTAGGTGGACCCCTGGTCTGATCCAGCAGGGCTCTTCTGATGTTCTTATGAAGGCCTCAGCCTCTCTGCCCTGTTGTTGGCCCTCCAGAGGAACTGGCTGGCCACTGTGTGAGACAGGATGCTGGATTAGATGGACCTCTGGTCTGATCTGCAGGGCTCTTATATTCTTATGGAATTATGGAATCCTCAGATCCAAGCCTGTGATGTGTGGATGGAGTCTGGCAGGCTGTCTGCCTCTTAACGCAAAAATGGCTCATGGTGGACTTCTAAGACTTTGAAACCCTGCCTTCTTTGTGCAGAAAGAGATGATGGAAATGTAAGATTTGGCAATGGTAGAGAAGCCAAACTCCATGGTTTTGTCTCAGTTACTCCTTTGCTCCTAGTTCCTGAGAAGATCCCTGGAGACCATTGCTGACAGCAACTGGACTAGGAACCTGAGCTGCGAATTTGAAAGCCAGATGTCCAGCTACACCGATCAGTCGGCAGAAAAGGTCTGCTTTGCTCCCTGTACTGTGTACACCTATATCCCTTTCTCTGTTTTTTCCTAACTACAACTCTGTGAAGTAGGCTAAGATGAGAGAGAGAGAGAGAGAGAGAGAGAGAGAGAGAGAGAGAGAGAGAGAGAGAGAGAGAGAGAAAGGTTCACGCTAAACCAGAAGGCCAACCATGGCCTTGCTGGGGGACCTCCTGATGGCCCCTGGGTTTCGGCTACTGTGTGAAACAGAGTGTGGGACTGGATGGGCCATTGGCCTGATCCAGCATTGGCTTCTCTTATTGTCTTCTGTCTGGGGCAGTGATGCTCTGTGTTATTGGTGCTTTGGGGGCCCCACAGTGGGAGGGTTTCTGTTCTGGCCCTGCTGAGGGACCTCCTGATGCGATGACATAAGAACATAAGAACATAAGAGACGCCAATGTTGGATCAGGCCAAAGGCCCATCCAGTCCAACATTCTGTGTCACACAGTGGCCAGAAATACCAGGTGCCATCAGAAGGTCCACCAGTGGGGCCAGGACATTAGAAGCCCTCCCACTGTTGACACCCCCCCCCCAAAGCACCAAGAAGACAGAGTGTCTCTTGCCCCAGAGTACCTATCTATACCTTGTGGACCTCTGCTCCATATGCTTATCTAATTCCCTTTTGAAGCCGCCCATGCTTGTAGCCGCCACCACCTCCTGTGGCAGTGAATTTCATGACATCACCCCGAAGTCATCATGTCAGCAACATCACACACGACACTGATTTTTGGACAAAAACTTGATGGCGGTTTGGCTTCAAAACCATAGAGTTTGCCCCAAAACCAGTGTTGCATGTGATGCTGCCAACACGATGACGTCACTTCCGGTTGATGTCCCTATTTGGGTGTGGGGGTTTCCCCCACCAGCCGGCCGGCCTATGGCGGGTCACAGCCCCCCAAAGCAGGGGAACCCCTGCTGGGACCTGAGGGCTGGCCGCCCTATTCCCTTGGCGCCCTAAGCACGTGCTTATTTTGCTTAACGAATCGTCCAGGCCTGCCTCGTTGGGTGTCCGTGCACAACACCGTGGCTCTTTTCCTGCCGGGGCCCAACACTGCCACTTCTTTTTCTTTTAGATTTTCCTGTATAAATCTCTGGGCACTTCACTAACAAGTTGTGAGGATCTGCCCTTCGTTAACAGTCAGATTCAACACGTTGTGGGAAACGCCAACTATCTGGAAGCGTCTGAGAGGGAGGTGAGTGGCGTGGATGGTGCTCCTTCTATAGACTCCAAATCAGGGCTTTTTTTTCTGGGGGAAGAGAATGGCGTTCCGGGACCTCTTCGACAACATTATTTTAAAAATGTTTAAAAGCAGGGCAGTAGCCAGGATTCTTCGGTTTGTGGGGCTACTTTTTTTTCTTATGCAGACTTCTTTGTGGGGCGCACACACACACACACACACACACACTTCAGCCAGGGTCCGACGTACCTAAGGGACCGCCTTTCCCCATATACCCCAAAGGGCACTACGGTCTGGGGCACAACATCGATTAATGATTCCAGGCCCCAGAGAGGCCCGGCTTGCTGCAACCAGGGCCAGGGACTTTTCAGTGGCAGCTCCTACCTGGTGGAATGAGCTCCCAGAGTTCTTTTTACAGTTCCGCAGGGCCTGCAAGACGGAGCTCTTCCGCCAGGCTTTTGAGTAGGAGTCGCCACTGCCACCACCCCCAATGATCCTCAGCAACAATGAGGATGGCCCTCTAGGAAGACCGTACTACTGTATGAAGCCGAATCGGTACCGCTGAACGCCACCTTGTTCGCATTGAAGACAACTAACACTGAGCACTTTATATTTTAATATTGATTGTTGCTGTGTTTGTTTTTACTCTGTCTTTATGTATTGGCGCATGGTGCCCTGTTTGCAAGCCGCCCTGAGCCCACGTGCGGGGAGGGCAGGGTAGACGTTTAATAAATAAACAAACAAACAATACATCCTCTGTTCCCAAACAGTTTGTCAGCCCACAGACCTCTGAACAAATGTGAAACAAACACAAGGACTCTTTTCTCTTCTCGGGGGGCCTTAGCAGTAAGTCAGGGGGCCGGGCCCCGAGAGGCCCCGAGGTAGCTACGGGCCCATTTAAAAGTTCGTGAGTTTTCAGTATACAGATTGGAAACTTCATTTATCTCTTGAGAGTTCCAGCACCTGTTTTTTTAAAAAACAACCCCACAAACCCTTGCTCCAAATCATTTCTGTAGTGTAACACAAAAATATTTGTTGTCTTATGAGTCCTACCTCCAGTTCCTCCCCAAAGCCATGAAGGCATCCTAATTCTTCGTCATGACAACTTTGTGAGGTAGGCTACATTGTTGTTGTTCAGTCGCACAGTAGAGTCCGACTCTTCGTGACCCCATGGACCAGATCACGCCAGGCCTTCCGGTCTTCCGCCGTCCTCTGAAGTTGCCTCAACTTCATGTTCGTTCCATCGATGACACTGTCTGACCATCTCATCCTTTGCCGTCCCCGTCTTCTTTGACCTTCAATCTTTCCCAGCATCAGGGTCTTCTTCTCCAGTGAGTGCTCCCTTCTCATTGGGTGGCCAAAGTATTTGAGCTTCAGTTTCATTATCTGGCCTTCCAGGGAACAGTCAGGGTTGATTTCTTCTAGGATTGACTGATTTGATCTCCTTGCAGTCCAAGGGACTCTCAAGAGTCTTCTCCAGCACCATAGTTCAAAAGAATCTATTCTTTGGTGCTCGGCCTTCCTTAGAGTCCAACTCTTGCAGCCATACATGACTACTGGGAATACCATTGCTTTGACCATGCGGACTTTTGTTGGCAGGGTGATGCCTCTACTTTTTATCATGCTGTTTAGGTTCGCCATTGCTTTCCTCCCAAGGAGCAGGCGTCTTTTAATTTCATGGCTGCTGTCACAGTCTGCGGTGATCTGGGCTCCCAGGAACGTGAAGTCTGTCACCACTTCCACGACTTCCCCTTCTATTTGCCAAGGAGTGATGGGGCCGGATGCCATGATCTTAGTTTTTTTGATGTTGAGCTTCAAGCCCACTTTTGCGCTCTCCTCTTTTACCCTGAGCAGGAGGCTCTTTAGGTCCTCTTCACTTTCTGCCATTAGAGTGGTATCGTCTGCATATCTGAGGTTGTTGATCTTTTCCCCAGCAATCTTCATTCCCGCTTGTGACTCATCCAGGCTACATGCCTGGCCCAAAATCTCCTCTCGAGCTTCATTCAAACCCAGGTCCTCCCTGGTTCAAGTCCAGTGTTTCATCCTCCACCCCGCTTTGGAAAACAGTTGTGCATGGAGCTTCCTTTGCACTGGTGTGTATTATTTTTCTCCACGCTGTTCTGAATGGCATTTTTAGACCAGAGGAAACCTGCAGAGGTTACCAGGCAATTGACAATCAGACAAAATGCAGGGAACGTCAGGGAAAGGCCTTGGCTTCTATGACCTGTTCTTGGACCTCCAGAGGAACTGTTTAGCCACTGAGTGAGACAGGATGCTGGACTAGATGGACCACGGGTTTGATCCATAAGGACTCTTCAGATGTTCTTATGAAGGCCTTGGCCTCTATGCCCTTTTGTTGGCCCTCCAGAGGAACTGGCTGGCCACTGTGTGAGGCAGGATGCTGGACTGGATGGACCACTGGTATGAACCAGCAGGGCTCTTCTGATGTTCTTATGAAGGCCTCGGCCTCTCTGCCCTGTTGTTGGCCCTCCGGAGGAACTGGCTGGCCACTGTGTGAGGCAGGATGCTGGACTGGATGGACCACTGGTATGAACCAGCAGGGCTCTTCTGATGTTCTTATGAAGGCCTCGGCCTCTCTGCCCTGTTGTTGGCCCTCCGGAGGAACTGGCTGGCCACTGTGTGAGGCAGGATGCTGGACTGGATGGACCACTGGTATGAACCAGCAGGGCTCTTCTGATGTTCTTATGAAGGCCTCGGCCTCTCTGCCCTGTTGTTGGCCCTCCGGAGGAACTGGCTGGCCACTGTGTGAGGCAGGATGCTGGACTGGATGGACCACTGGTATGAACCAGCAGGGCTCTTCTGATGTTCTTATGAAGGCCTCGGCCTCTCTGCCCTGTTGTTGGCCCTCCGGAGGAACTGGCTGGCCACTGTGTGAGGCAGGATGCTGGACTGGATGGACCACTGGTATGAACCAGCAGGGCTCTTCTGATGTTCTTATGAAGGCCTCGGCCTCTCTGCCCTGTTGTTGGCCCTCCGGAGGAACTGGCTGGCCACTGTGTGAGGCAGGATGCTGGACTGGATGGACCACTGGTATGAACCAGCAGGGCTCTTCTGATGTTCTTATGAAGGCCTTGGCCTCTATGCCCTTTTGTTGGCCCTCCAGAGGAAATGGCTGGCCACTGTGTGAGACAGGATGGTGGACTAGATGGATCCCTGGTCTGATCCAGCAGAGCAGCTCTTGTGTTCTTACTTGGCCTCTCTGCCCTGTTGTTGGCCCTCCAGAGGAACTGGCTGGCCACTGTGTGAGGCAGGATGGTGGACTAGACAGACCACTGGTATGAACCAGCAGGGCTCTTCTGATGTTCTTATGACGGCCTTGGCCTCTATACCCTTTTGTTGGCCCTCCAGAGGAACTGGCTGGCCACTGTGTGAGGCAGGATGCTGGACTGGATGGACCACTGGTATGAACCAGCAGGGCTCTTCTGATGTTCTTATGAGGGCCTTAGCCTCTATGCCCTTTTGTTGGCCCTCCAGAGGAAATGGCTGGCCACTGTGTGAGACAGGATGGTGGACTAGATGGACCACTGATCTAATCCAGCAGAGCATTTCTTGTTTTCTTACTAAGGCCTCGGCCTCTCTGCCCCCTTGTTGGCCATCCGGAGGAACTGGCTGGCCACTGTGTGAGACAGGAGGCTGGACTAGACAGACCATTAGTGTGAACCAGCAGGGCTCTTCTGATGTTCTTACATTCTTAACATGGCCTCAGAATCAGAGAGAGAGAGAGAGAGAGAGAGAGAGAGAGGTGTTTCTGGAATGGATGCTGGACTCAGTTCTCAAATCCCTGCTCCTCCATGAAGGAATCAAACCCTACAACTCGCAGTTCCACCATCTCCCGCTTTCCCGGCCATCATCGCTCACCTCCTAAATTTTCACCCCCCCGCACCAGAACATCCACATGACCCACCCACCCCCCAAGCCCAGCAGCCATTTCCCAGTCCTCTATGGCTGTTCCCATAATTTCAGTCCAAAGTCTGTCCTCCTGATTGACTAGAGAATATAAGTCTCCAAGACTTCCCTCACTGGCAGGCTGAGCAACGATCCAGAGCATTGACCTTTGGAAGTCAGGTCAGTTTCTGTCTGTGGGATTTCTGTGCATCTATGTGATCCTATGTGAGCTGCGGTGGCTCAAGTGGTTAAGACGCTGAGCTGCAGGCTGTGGAAGGTCAGTAGTTCGGCAGTTCGAGACCCGAGTGTGCCGCATGACGGAGTGAGCTCCCGTCTCTAGTTCCAGCTCCTGCCAACCTAGCAGTTCGAAAGTAAGAAATTGCAAGTAGATAAATAGGTACCACTTCGGTGGGAAGGGAACAGCGTTCCGTGCGCCTTGGTGTTTAGTCATGCCAGCCACATGACTACGGACAGTGCTGGCTCTTCGGCTTTGAAACGGAGATGAGCACCGCAACCCTAGAGTCGGATTCGACTGGCTTTCGAGCAAGGGAAACCTTTACCTTTACCTTTATGTGAACCAAGCAACCAAGCAAAAAGAGGAGATTCACGGTATGGAGAAAATTAACAAAAGGCCAGAAACCTGTGAATATAATAATGCAAAATTTATCAAAACAGTATGTGAACTCTTAACAAATGTTATGAAGGCATAATATTATATTAAATGCCTCTGGTGGTGTCAGTCCAATTTTTGAAGACAACTCAAAAGTCCTATCAAAATTCCTACCTGAAGCAGTCCTTCCCAGTGAAACAATAAAGTCCAATGCTGATGGAGCCAAAGCGATCCTTTTAACGGGGCACCGGTAAAAATCCCATTTCCACAGTGACTTCTTCAGGAACAGGGGTCGCAACCGAACAGAATGAATCCATAATGGAGTCAGTCTTTCTACTTCTTAGCAATGCTCCCTCTAAGCTGTGGAGTCCTGTGAGCAAAAATTCTCCTTTGTGAGCCACTGGCATTAAAGTTCTGAGCCAGCGATTTGGCTACTGCATAAATTAGTTTGCTCCAGAGCCATCCTTCCTGAGCTAGGACAAAAATGTGTGAAGCCGGAGGCTAAAAACCTGTGAGCTAGCTCACACCATTTGATCACAAGCTAAACATGAGCCTGCAGTGCGATGTGGCTGTGAAGAAACCTAATGCAATCTTAGGATGCATTCACAGAAGCATTGTGTCCAGATCACGGGAGGTGGTCGTTCCGCTCTGTTCTGCTATGGCCAGGCCTCACCTGGAGTCCTGTGTCCAGTTTTGGGCACCACATTTGAGGAAGGATGCTGACAAGCTCAAGCGTGTCCAGAAGAGGGCAACCAGGATGGTGAGAGGGTTGGAATCCAAGTCTTACGAGGGAAGGCTGAAAGACTTTGGTATGTTTAGCTTGGGAAAGAGAAGGCTTAGAGGGGACACGATTGCAGTCTTCAAGTATTTGAAGGGCTGTCATGTAGAAGATGGAGCGGATCTATTCTCTCTTGCTCCGGATATCAAGACTAGATCTAATGGGTGGAAATTACAAGGGAGTCGTTACCGGCTAAATATCAGGAGAAACTTCCTGACTGTAAGAGTGGTTGCAGTGGAACAGTCTGCCTCGGGAGGTGGTGGATGCTCCTTCGCTGGGCGTTTTCAAGCGGAGGAGGCTGGACGGCCATCTTTCGGGGATGTCGTAGGTATGTAGGGCTGTCTTTCGGCTATGTTCCTGCAGAGTGCAGGAGGTTGGACTAGATGGCCTGCAAGGTCCCTTCCAACTCTCACATTCTATGATTCTATGATTCTATGAACTCAGCTGAGAGGGACCACTGCTTCTTCGTCTGGTCTGATAAAGCAGCTCCCAGATTGTCAAAGAACGCTACGAGAACCGGCAAAGCCCATTCTTTTTGTTTTCCAGAAGGTGATCTTGGTCCTTTCCTCCTCTGCCGTGGGCCATTTTGACCTCACGTTGGCCACACTGCAGAAGTTCGGAGATGGGCTGGAGAAGAAGACGAAGGTGTCTGAAGTCATCAGCCACTACAAGGTAAAGGAGGGTATCCTCCCTTTACGGGGGGGGGGACATCTGATCTGTCTAGCAAAAGAGGCTCAGGGTGGCCTTCACTAACCAAAGGAGTCTCAGAGCGGTTTATAAACTCCTTTCCCTTTCCCTCCCCACAACAGACACCCTGTGAGGTAGAAGAAGAAGAAGAAGAAGAGATTGGATTTATACCCCGCCCTTCACTACCCAAAGGAGTCTCAGAGTGGCTTACAAACTCCTTTCCCTCCCCCTCCCCACCACAGACACCCTGTGAGGCAGGTGGGGCTGAGAGAGCTCTGACAGAAACGGCTCTTTTTAAAGAACAGCTCTTGTCAGAGCTACGGCTTGTCCAAAGTCATCCAGCCAGGTGCAAGTGGAGGAGTGGGGGAATCAAACCCGGTTCTCCCAGATTAGAGTCCGCGCACTTAACCACTACACCAAAAGCAGGACTTTTGCTTCTCCCCAAATAATCCACTTTACCTAAAGGGCAACGTGACAGCACTTCCTTTTTAAAAAAATAACTTCAGTCCTCTTATAATCTCTCTTCCGCGTCCATCGCTCGTCTTGTCCCAGGAAACCCGGCCTGCTTAGTTCTATTTCTCCTGCCTCCCTTCCCCTCGTCCATCAAAAAGTTGCAGCTTTGGGTATAAATCTCTCTGACAACGGAACATAACACTCCATACATCTGACAAAACGGGCTTCGGCTCAGGACAACTTATAACCCAATAAATTTGGCCGGGTGCCCTTTTAGGATCATCTTGCATCTACCAGGAGACGTCAATCTGGGACGTGCACATTAGCCTAACCAACACACACACAAAAAAATTATCTATACGCAATCGGGCATAGGCTTGCACCAAGATTTGTGCACATTCATAACATAGAGGGGGACCAGACACATATAAATTGAAAGACCTGAAGGCAGGGATGAACTGCACAGAGACCTTTCCAGAATTAATGTTAGACACACTTCTTGGTAATTTGGAGTTGCGGAGGAGTGAATCACAGTGCTTCCTAGAAGATAAAGGGACACAATGGGAAATCGGCCAATCCCTGCCCAGGAATTGGTGCCCCTCGTCCTTAAGCACAGATCAGAAATGAAGGCTGCTCTCAGCTTGGGTTTCCGAGCCCCTGTCTCTCTCAGTCTGTTGACCGTGGTCTTCTCCTCAGTACCGGTGAGGTCATAACTCTTCCCGTCCTGTGACTCAAATGCTTGAAATTCCATCGATCCCAGGACTGGAAAAGTGGAGGACCACTGCTCCAGGATAAATAGTTGGCCCCGTCTAACTGTGAGGAGCTTTTTGTTAAGAAGAACATTCTCTTTGTAGTGTATTCCAAAGCTGCCATGGAATGCATGATGTATGTGAAACATCTCATTGACTTGTAATGTTGAGCTTCATCCTGGGCTAGGATCCAAATCCATCCAATAGTATTGCTAGCCTAGGAAGTAACAAACCAATCACTTCACAGCAAGCTCCCTGAGCGGGAACGTCCGTGATTGGTCCTTATGTGAACAACCTTATTGGTTGGTATTTGTACAGTGGGTGTGGCTACATTAGCCGGGAATGTTTAAAAACAGGACAGCTGCAATGTAAAGTCTGTTCTGGCTATCAGATGTTGATCCGTGTTGGAGTTGTGTTCGAGTTGAAGAATAAAGTTGTGTTCTTGCTGAATCCCTCTCCAACTTCTTTGTTAAGCGAGCAAACACTCTTTCTGTGGGACTTTGGGTGAGTTGGAGGGTAGCTGTTATCGATGGTTGCCAGCCTCCAGGTGGAGACCAGAGATCCCCCAGAATTACGAGTCATCTCCAGACTACAGAGATTAGTTTCCCTGGAGAAAATGGATGCATTGAAGGTGGACTCATACTGGCTTGCCAGTCCCCCGGTGGGAAACGGGGATCCCACCATTTTGTGGGCTCTGGTCCATTACTCACCAGCTGGCTGGCCAGGGAAACCCCACCCCCAAACAAAAGTCAGTGATGCGCTGATATCACATCCGGAAGTGATGTAAGCGCATTGCCAGCATCCCCGCCCACCCATGGAACTTTCCCCAAATCCCCCTGCCAGCAGAAGGAAGGCCCCTGGCAACCTTCACTCAGAGAGACTGATTAAGATGTGGGATTCGCCGCCAGAGGATGTAGTGGTGGCCACAGGAATAAACAGCTTTTAACAGGGATTAGATAGATTTCATGGAGGAGAAGTCTATCAATGGCTACTAGCCATGGTGACTGAGAGGAACCTCCGCATTCAGAGGCTTGAAGCCTTTGATTCCCAGAGTTCGGAGGCAGAATCAGGGAAGGCCTCGGCCTCTATGCTGTGTTGTGGGCCCTCCAGAGGAACAGGGTGGCCACTCTGTGAGACAGGATGCTGGACTAGATGGACGACTGGTCTGACCTAGCAGGGCTCTTCTGATGTTCTTATGAAGGCCTCGGCCTCTGTGCCCTGCTGTTGGCCCTCCAGAGGAACTGGTTGGCCACTGTGTGATAGAGGATGCTGGACTAGTTGGACCCTTGGTGTGACCCAGCAGGGTTCTTCTGATGTTTTTATGAAGACCTCGGCCTCTCTGCCCTGTTGTTGGCCCTCCAGAGGAACTGGTTGGCCACTGTGTGATAGAGGATGCTGGACTAGATGGACCCCTGGTCTGACCCAGCAGGGCTCTTCTGATGTTTTTATGAAGGCCTCGGCCTCTCTGCCCTGTTGTTGGCCCTCCAGAGGAACTGGTTGGCCACTGTGTGATAGAGGATGCTGGACTAGATGGACCCCTGGTCTGACCCAGCAGGGCTCTTCTAATGTTCTTATGAAGACCTCGGCCTCTCTGCCCTGTTGTTGGCCCTCCAGAGGAACTGGTTGGCCACTGTGTGATAGAGGATGCTGGACTAGTTGGACCCTTGGTGTGACCCAGCAGGGTTCTTCTGATGTTTTTATGAAGACCTCGGCCTCTCTGCCCTGTTGTTGGCCCTCCAGAGGAACTGGTTGGCCACTGTGTGATAGAGGATGCTGGACTAGTTGGACCCTTGGTGTGACCCAGCAGGGTTCTTCTGATGTTTTTATGAAGACCTCGGCCTCTCTGCCCTGTTGTTGGCCCTCCAGAGGAACTGGTTGGCCACTGTGTGATAGAGGATGCTGGACTAGTTGGACCCTTGGTGTGACCCAGCAGGGTTCTTCTGATGTTTTTATGAAGACCTCGGCCTCTCTGCCCTGTTGTTGGCCCTCCAGAGGAACTGGTTGGCCACTGTGTGATAGAGGATGCTGGACTAGTTGGACCCTTGGTGTGACCCAGCAGGGTTCTTCTGATGTTTTTATGAAGACCTCGGCCTCTCTGCCCTGTTGTTGGCCCTCCAGAGGAACTGGTTGGCCACTGTGTGATAGAGGATGCTGGACTAGTTGGACCCTTGGTGTGACCCAGCAGGGTTCTTCTGATGTTTTTATGAAGACCTCGGCCTCTCTGCCCTGTTGTTGGCCCTCCAGAGGAACTGGTTGGCCACTGTGTGATAGAGGATGCTGGACTAGTTGGACCCTTGGTGTGACCCAGCAGGGTTCTTCTGATGTTTTTATGAAGACCTCGGCCTCTCTGCCCTGTTGTTGGCCCTCCAGAGGAACTGGTTGGCCACTGTGTGATAGAGGATGCTGGACTAGTTGGACCCTTGGTGTGACCCAGCAGGGTTCTTCTGATGTTTTTATGAAGACCTCGGCCTCTCTGCCCTGTTGTTGGCCCTCCAGAGGAACTGGTTGGCCACTGTGTGATAGAGGATGCTGGACTAGTTGGACCCTTGGTGTGACCCAGCAGGGTTCTTCTGATGTTTTTATGAAGACCTCGGCCTCTCTGCCCTGTTGTTGGCCCTCCAGAGGAACTGGTTGGCCACTGTGTGATAGAGGATGCTGGACTAGTTGGACCCTTGGTGTGACCCAGCAGGGTTCTTCTGATGTTTTTATGAAGACCTCGGCCTCTCTGCCCTGTTGTTGGCCCTCCAGAGGAACTGGTTGGCCACTGTGTGATAGAGGATGCTGGACTAGTTGGACCCTTGGTGTGACCCAGCAGGGTTCTTCTGATGTTTTTATGAAGACCTCGGCCTCTCTGCCCTGTTGTTGGCCCTCCAGAGGAACTGGTTGGCCACTGTGTGATAGAGGATGCTGGACTAGTTGGACCCTTGGTGTGACCCAGCAGGGTTCTTCTGATGTTTTTATGAAGACCTCGGCCTCTCTGCCCTGTTGTTGGCCCTCCAGAGGAACTGGTTGGCCACTGTGTGATAGAGGATGCTGGACTAGTTGGACCCTTGGTGTGACCCAGCAGGGTTCTTCTGATGTTTTTATGAAGACCTCGGCCTCTCTGCCCTGTTGTTGGCCCTCCAGAGGAACTGGTTGGCCACTGTGTGATAGAGGATGCTGGACTAGTTGGACCCTTGGTGTGACCCAGCAGGGTTCTTCTGATGTTTTTATGAAGACCTCGGCCTCTCTGCCCTGTTGTTGGCCCTCCAGAGGAACTGGTTGGCCACTGTGTGATAGAGGATGCTGGACTAGTTGGACCCTTGGTGTGACCCAGCAGGGTTCTTCTGATGTTTTTATGAAGACCTCGGCCTCTCTGCCCTGTTGTTGGCCCTCCAGAGGAACTGGTTGGCCACTGTGTGATAGAGGATGCTGGACTAGTTGGACCCTTGGTGTGACCCAGCAGGGTTCTTCTGATGTTTTTATGAAGACCTCGGCCTCTCTGCCCTGTTGTTGGCCCTCCAGAGGAACTGGTTGGCCACTGTGTGATAGAGGATGCTGGACTAGTTGGACCCTTGGTGTGACCCAGCAGGGTTCTTCTGATGTTTTTATGAAGACCTCGGCCTCTCTGCCCTGTTGTTGGCCCTCCAGAGGAACTGGTTGGCCACTGTGTGATAGAGGATGCTGGACTAGTTGGACCCTTGGTGTGACCCAGCAGGGTTCTTCTGATGTTTTTATGAAGACCTCGGCCTCTCTGCCCTGTTGTTGGCCCTCCAGAGGAACTGGTTGGCCACTGTGTGATAGAGGATGCTGGACTAGTTGGACCCTTGGTGTGACCCAGCAGGGTTCTTCTGATGTTTTTATGAAGACCTCGGCCTCTCTGCCCTGTTGTTGGCCCTCCAGAGGAACTGGTTGGCCACTGTGTGATAGAGGATGCTGGACTAGTTGGACCCTTGGTGTGACCCAGCAGGGTTCTTCTGATGTTTTTATGAAGACCTCGGCCTCTCTGCCCTGTTGTTGGCCCTCCAGAGGAACTGGTTGGCCACTGTGTGATAGAGGATGCTGGACTAGTTGGACCCTTGGTGTGACCCAGCAGGGTTCTTCTGATGTTTTTATGAAGACCTCGGCCTCTCTGCCCTGTTGTTGGCCCTCCAGAGGAACTGGTTGGCCACTGTGTGATAGAGGATGCTGGACTAGTTGGACCCTTGGTGTGACCCAGCAGGGTTCTTCTGATGTTTTTATGAAGACCTCGGCCTCTCTGCCCTGTTGTTGGCCCTCCAGAGGAACTGGTTGGCCACTGTGTGATAGAGGATGCTGGACTAGTTGGACCCTTGGTGTGACCCAGCAGGGTTCTTCTGATGTTTTTATGAAGACCTCGGCCTCTCTGCCCTGTTGTTGGCCCTCCAGAGGAACTGGTTGGCCACTGTGTGATAGAGGATGCTGGACTAGTTGGACCCTTGGTGTGACCCAGCAGGGTTCTTCTGATGTTTTTATGAAGACCTCGGCCTCTCTGCCCTGTTGTTGGCCCTCCAGAGGAACTGGTTGGCCACTGTGTGATAGAGGATGCTGGACTAGTTGGACCCTTGGTGTGACCCAGCAGGGTTCTTCTGATGTTTTTATGAAGACCTCGGCCTCTCTGCCCTGTTGTTGGCCCTCCAGAGGAACTGGTTGGCCACTGTGTGATAGAGGATGCTGGACTAGTTGGACCCTTGGTGTGACCCAGCAGGGTTCTTCTGATGTTTTTATGAAGACCTCGGCCTCTCTGCCCTGTTGTTGGCCCTCCAGAGGAACTGGTTGGCCACTGTGTGATAGAGGATGCTGGACTAGTTGGACCCTTGGTGTGACCCAGCAGGGTTCTTCTGATGTCCTCCTCCTCCTCCTCCTCCTCCTCCTCTTCTTCTTCTTCTTCTTCTTCTTCTTCTTCTTCTTCTTCTTCTTCTTCTTCTTCTTCTTCTTCTTCTTCTTCTTCTTCTTCTTTTGCATTGTACCCCTCCGCGGTCCCTGTAACCCCCAGGGTCCATCCCCAAATGTCTAAAAGTTTCCCAACCCAGAGCTGGCAACGCTACACCCTCATTCCCAGCACGCAACTTGGGGTGAACCTGCAACCTCACTCTGGACAGCCAGGTGAGGGGAACCATAGGTTGGTTGCCGAGTTGCCGGATAAGAAGCCCCCGCACCTTCCTCCTCTCTTTCTGTTGCTCAGGACTATTACCAAGGCCGGAGGGGCCAGATCCACCAAACGCTGATGCTCACGTATGGTAAAGTGGCGCTCTGTGCTCCAAAGGAACTCCTCTTCTCCCGGGTGGAGACTGATATAATGAAGCGAGTTCTGCAGCATTACTACAACAGCGGGCAGGTGAGAGGCTTGAAAGGTGTACTTTTGGGGTGGAGTGTTGAGTGTATGGTTGCCAGCCTCCAGGTGGGGCCTGGTGATCTCCCAGAATTACAACTGATCTCCAGACTGCAGAAATCAGTTCCCCTGGGGGAAGAAATGGATTCACAGCTCAGCTCTCTCCCCTCCACAAACCCCACCCTCCCCAGGCCCCATCCCCAAATCTCCACGAATTTCCCAACCTGGAGTTGGCAACCACCATCCCAACAGAGCACAGTGGTTCGGACAAAGACTTTTCATTTCCTTTCTGCCAGTTTCTTCCCGTTGCCTAGGCATTTGTACTCTCTCGGCTGGACTACCGCAGTGCAAGTCACATGGGGCTGCCCCTTGAGGGTTGCCCAGAAACATCAGCTGGTGTAGAGGAACCTGTTGGGGCTGGGCTAGAATGGGACGGTGAGACAGGCCCGTAGTCAGGATTTTTTATCCTGGGGGGCTCTGGAATTGGGGGGGCCCTGCTGGTGCCGGGGGGGGGCTTAATTTAAAACAAAAATTTAAACCCTGGGTGAGTCTTCTCCCAGCTTGCTCGCAGGAAAAAGACTCAGGGACCAGCAAACAGCAGCCACCCCCTCTCTTCCCCCACCATCCAGCTGAGCAAAGAGTCGCACCACAGCAGCAGCACAATTTCTCCACTGGATACAGAGAGGGGGTTTAAAGTTTTAAACCCCCCCCCCGCTCAGCCAGCTGGTAGGGGAAGAGAGGGGGCGGCTGCGTGGTCGCTGTTGCCAGCCACAGAGTCTTCTTCCTGCTAGCAAGCAGAGAGAAGACTCGGCTGGCAAGGGAGGGGGGAAATCTTGTGGCGCTGTCCCTTTAAGGTAAAGCTGAGCCCCCAATAGCCCCGCCATAGCTACGGGCCAGTGCTGAGATTGTGCCAGGAAAGGACATCTCACCAAGGATCCTTGGAGAAGGAAACAAAGTAGAAGTGTCAATTCAGATAAGCTTCTAAGTGGAGATGAGAGAGCTGCTTGGTGCCAAGTGAGGATATACTCGGAAGGGGAAGATGAGTGAGATACAGTTACCCCTGCATTTAAGACAGATGAGAAAGAAATATCAGGCTGGGGTGCCTCTGTATGCAGCAGACACAATGACATAACATCACCCGCCTGACCAAAACGGAGAGTGATCTTCAAACGCAGAAAAAAATAAGGAAGGCCATCAGAGGAGAAAATGGTGTAATGTTGGGTAACTTCAACTACCCTCATACTAGCTGGGTTAATGCCTGTTTGGGTCCCGAAAAAAAGAGACCAAATAGCTAGATTTCATGAATAATTATTCCTTGGAACTAGAGTTGAGGGTGGGGACATTGGGGGGGCTTACTGGGAACGTGATGATGCAGTGGTAGCTCTAGGAATTGCCAGAAACTCTATGGTAAAACCATAGAGTTTCTGGCGATATCGCTCCAGGTATCACCTGTCATTTCCAAGTCTTTCCCTGGAGATGACGTCATCATGCTCACGGCAGTATAGGCAATGGGAGCTCGGGGCAGAGGAATCCCCGCCCCTACTGGGGTCTTGGCAGAGAGAAGAACTGGGGGAACTTTGCAGCTCTCTAGAACGGGAAACCATTTCAACTAGGGAGTCCAGCCTCCAGGTGGGACCTGAGGATCCCCTGGAATGACAGATCATCTCCAGACTACAGAGATCAGCTCCCCTGGAGGAAATGGACGCTTTGGAGGGTGGACTGTGCAGCATTGTACCCCACTGAGGTCCCTGTCCTCCCATGGCTCCACCCCCAAATCTCCAGGAGTTCCCCAACCTGGAACTGGCAACACTATCCCCCCAATCCCCTGCTGGTGGCCGCGGGAGGGACCCGACCACCCTAACCCACAGCTCTGATCCTGCGCCCAGAGATCACCCCCTGTTCACAGGGTTCCTGTACCCTTGCCCAAAAACACGGAGCCCTTCTCATTGACAGCAAACAGTGCTGCCGTGTGGATTCCGTGATGGGCAGGATCTGAAATTTTATATAAAGATTGTTGTTGTTGTTGTTACAGTTGCATTATGACATGAAGGAGCTGCGGTGGCTCAAGTGGTTAAGACGCTGACCTGCAGGCTGTGGAAGGTCGGTCGTTCAGCAGTTCGAGACCCGAGTGTGCCGCATGACGGCGTGAGCTCCCGTCTCTAGTTCCAGCTCCTGCCAACCTAGCAGTTCGAAAGCAAGACATTGCAAGTAGATAAATAGGTACCACTTCGGTGGGAAGGGAACAGCGTTCTGTGCACCTTGGTGTTTAGTCATGCCGGCCACATGCCCAAGGAAACGTCTTCAGACAGCGCTGGCTCTTCGGCTTTGAAATGGAGATGAGCACCGCAACCCTCGAGTTGGATTCGACTGGCTTTCAAGCAAGGGAACCTTTACCTTTACCTTTAAAAGATCAACCAGGAGCTGCGGTGGCTCAACTGGTTAAGACGCTGAACTGCAGGCTGTGGAAGGTCGGTAGTTCAGCAGTTCGAGACCCGAGTGTGCCTTCGGCTAAAGTACTTACGAGACTCCAACAAAAGAAAGAAAGAGAACAACAGAGTAAACGTAATGGACAGACAGAAGATTAAGATACTGTCGATAAATGTTAATGGTCTAAATATACCCCAAAAAAGAAGGAAGACCTTTCATCAAGCTAGTAAACTTAAACCAGATATATTATGTCTTCAAGAGACACACATCAGAAAAGAAGATGAAAAACTTTTAAACAATAAAAAGCTGGGGACACCTTTTGTAGCATCAGACGGTTGTAAAAAAAGAGTGAACCCTGCAAGTCGATTTCCAAAATGCTGACTAGAGGCTGCCTTTCCTTTTTCAGGTGCTGGGCGTTAGCATTGCAAACAAGGTGAGTGGTGCAAGCTTCACGTGTATTATTTGCATGCTGATACCCAGGCCGGCGTCAGCCTATCCTGATGAGGCGGGGAGTCTGCCAGGGCACAGGGCTTCAGGAGGGGTGCGCCCGGTGGCACTGTACCCTCTTGAGGTCTCCCCGCAGACCCCACTATCCCCAGGCCCCAATCTCCAGGGATTTCCCAAAATGGAGTGGACAACTTCCTTCGCCTCCTTCCAGTCTCAGCTTCTCTTGTGGCCATTCAGGAAAAGCTCCTCCGATTTCCCAAGCGTTCTAAATAGGGTAGCCAACCACCAGGTGGCGGCTGGAGATCTCCCGGGATTGCAATTGCTCTCAAGACAAAGATCGGTCCACCTGGAGAAAATGTCCACTTTGGAAGGGGAGGGGGGTGGGCCCTCGACGGCATTATACCCCAGTGAAGTCCCAGGAAGTCTCCAGGAATTTCCCAACCCAAACATGGCAGTCCTGCACAGGGGTCGTTTCGTAGAAAAAGCGCTCATTAGCATATGCCACACCCCCTGACATCACCAGAAGTGTCTCGTAAGGCCACACCCCCTGACATCACCGGAAGTGTGTCATAAAGCCACCCACCCCGCCCCCAACGGTCCCGGTCACCGCCGCCGGCCTTGCAGCTCCACTGCCGAGCCCCATGAGGGGCCCGGACCCCCTGACATCACCAGAAGTGTCTCGTAAGGCCACACCCCCTGACATCACCGGAAGTGTGTCATAAAGCCACCCACCCCGCCCCCAACGGTCCCGGTCACCGCCGCCGGCCTTGCAGCTCCACTGCCGAAGCAGGGGGCGGGTCTTCGTCATGTGCCCCGCCCCCCCCGTACCTCACCCGGGGGAACTGCAATCCCTCGCGATCCCCCCCCAAAATGACCTCTGGTCCTGCATGTAAGTGTGCCCCCCCCCATGTCCTCATTCGGCTGTCTTGGGAAACGCAGGGTCGCTGCC